CCCCAAAACCCCAAAACCCCAAAACCCCAAAACCCCAAAACCCCATAAAAATGAGATTCATTGAAAATTAATTACCAAAAGTAAATGCCTTCCATTTCCTCTTCTCCAAAATCCCCTAAATCCCTTCTAACCTTCTTCTCACCCCTCTTATCCCTATCCTTCCTCTCCAACCCCACTTGTATTCCCTTAAAACCCCTCAAATTCTGAACTTTGGCCCCACTCATAGTTTAGGAATGGTTTATGAGTTATAGTGGTTATTTGGAACATGAGATTGGTTTCATATTAGATCTATAGACTATTCAGAATGGATACTTTAAGTGATCTCCCCTACTTGACAAGTGCAGTAGACAACTACAAAAATGCGATGAAGAAAGCATCTAAAGGTAAGCTTAAATCAGAGATTTTTAATTGGTGCATAAGTATCATTGAGGAAAATTAGTAAATTTTTATGAGATTCCTCTATGCATTTTTACAAAGCCAGACACTTGGATTTTCCCTATATAACCATCAGAGATTGAGCATAACTTACTTCTCTCACTCTAAGTCTCAGTCATATAACTCAATCTTCCTCACTTCCATTCTAACCTTGTACTGAATAAATATCTAAAAATTCATAGAATTCAAGAAGACAACAGTTTCATATCAGCTGAAAGAATTCAAGACCTACCTATACTCTCACAGCATTAGCTCAAAGCAAAGCTTTGAGTTCTTCGGCCAGAGAAGCAAGTCCCTCAGCGAAGAACCCATCCCACCTCGGGATCAGCCCACAAAGCTACACTTGGGCAAGCTGAATGAGCAACGGAGAACTTCTGTTACTGTTTGAGACCCAATCAACAATATTGTAGAAAAAGTATGGTTTACCTAAATATTCCCATCAATCATTAGTAAGCCTCCATAGATCACACAAACATTCCTACTTTGGATTATGGCACCATGGGATTAACAAGTGTTCTTAAACTGTATAAACTGATGTCTTAATAGGATACCGAGACCCAAAGAGAGAAAATAAGAAAGCATATTTCCCTATATAATCCTACGGGACGAAGCTCAGCTAACTTTCTTTCCAAGAAATGAAGGAAGCTCAAGTTAAACCGAGGTAGTTACATTTTATAAGAAAATAGATAAAAGAGGTGAATCATTAGATATTTCATATAACCTAAAAGGAAGCAATAAAAGGTACCTAAAAGAGAAGATGGACGTCAAGCAAAAGAGCCTCATGAAAGTTTATTTCAGCAATAAGTGTAAAATAAGCAAGAGTGTATTTCATACTTCTTCTAATTTCTAGCCTTCTGAGTCAAAGACACTAAAATAAATCAAATTCCTTAGTTAAGCACTCTCAGTCTTCAAACGTCTCAGATAAGTTCCTAGAGTCCACATTCCAAGTTCCTAAGCCAAGAATTGTCCACAAGCTGCCTATTTTTACAGTAAATTTAATTTTTAATATTTTTAGAATTGAACCCAAAACAAGACTAATTTAAAAACACTCAAAGAGAATTCGAAATTCCCTAAAGTACAAAAATTGGTGCTGAAGCCCAATGAACTCAAGAAATTGGAAGGACGCCTTGATATAACCCAAAAGATCGACAAAGCTCTCACAAAATCTAACTCAGGCAAGAAGAAGTTTACTAAGTCAAAGAGGAAACAGAGTGTTGAAGAAAAATTTAAGGAAATCATGACATCTGATACAACCTCGATTTCAACTTTCTTCACAGCCTGTAATTCCAGTAGCCACAACACTTACTCTTTGACTCCTTCTGGTGTGGCCAAGAAGAAGGTATCCTTTAACCTTCCTTGCCTATAAGCTCTATACCATTACCTATAATTTATAAGTAAAATACTTAAGATACCTCTAAATTTTCAGAAAATTACACCTTGCTCAAATATAAAAGACCATCTTTTGTTTCAAACTAACCCCTAACTTTAAAAAATCTACATTTTCTACATAAAATCCCTCTCTAGGGGTTTTGGGGTTTTGGGGTTTTGGGGTTTTGGGGTTTTGGGGTTTTGGGG